GAATAGGCTTTTCTGAAGCTGGTTTCATTGAAGATTCATTACTCGAAGCTTTTCAGCAGTTCTTTGGCGCCATCTGGTGGCCAAAAAGTGTAACGAGCAGTTTGAAACCACAACAGAAAATGAACCATTGCGGGGATTTGAACTTTTTTGTTGTTGTTGTTGTGGGCAAATAAAAAAGATATGGTTATTTAATGAATAAACTTGTTTAAACATGTGTCGTGCCATGATGCCACTGCAAGTGGTCTTGGCATTTATAAACATAAGAGATTTTTTTAAGTGTGTCTTAATTTACAACTCATACTGGTTTGGAATGGTGCTTCTTCTGCAAGGACCTGCCTCCAATGACTATATAATCAACCAATTATATTGAAATACTGTAACATACGCACTTGTAGTGTTTAAATTTGTATTTTTATTTTTTTACTAGCAGTAAAAGTGCTTAATATGAACTGGTAAACACAAAGCTGGCTGGCTACGTCACTCGCTGGTTGTTTTGTGCGCATTAGCCAACAAAACACACCACACACATTCTGTTGATTCACTTCCTCATAAACCTTTGGCTCAGGTGTCAAAGCAGTGGTGTAACTTCAGAGCTGTCAAAGCTTCAGACATCATTGATTACGTGGCTTTCTCCAAATGAATCAAGCTCTGACACAGCGAAACACCGCTTTATGTAAACATGCACCAGAGCTTCAGCGTCAAACGATCCATCACTAGTAATTACTTCCAGGATTAGATCAACTGCTTTGAGCGTAAGTGTAAATGTCCCTTTTTTTAATTATATATTTTGCAGCTGTTTTGCCTACAGCTGAGCCACCACCAAGAGGAGCAGATGATGCAGTGCACCAAAACCAGGATTCAAGCCTATTTCAGAGGCCTACTCCAAATGTCGCTCACACAGAGCAAAGGCTGATGATCAGCCACAAACGTATCCACGAGGTGAAGCAGGAATCCGAAGAACAAAAGCAACACAACAATGGTCAGTCAGGAATTGAGCAACACAAAACACAAGCAGAGGTGGTGACTAAAAGAAGTGAGACTGCAGAGAGTGTCCACTCARCGCTGTCTGCTGATAGGAACACAGGTGCTGGGTCATTGAACAGCGTGTGCACCTCTTACCCCAGCTCCCTGCTCGGCATCACGGTCGTCAAAAGAGAATCAGAACAAACAGAGTGCACGACGTCAGAGCAACTGCCAACACAAGAACAATATCCTGGACGTGTGGATTTAAGCTCCGGCTCTAACCTTCACATCTCTGCTGAGACACACAGACCACACGTTGTCGCAGAGTCTTACGGGCTCGTCTTCATCAACCCCGATCCGACCGCACACAGGAGCCAGGGGTGCGCGAAAACCAACAGGACCTCGTTTCAGCAAAGACGAATCACGTTGGAGCCCTCCAAGGGTGACGACACACACCTGTGTGTCATGTGCGGGAAAACCTTCAGCAGATTCAACAACCTGAGGATCCACCAGCGCTGTCACACGGGAGAGAAACCGTACGGCTGCGTGCAGTGCGGGAGGCGTTTCAGGCTGGCGGGAGATCTGAAAAAACACAAGAGGGTCCACACGGGGGAGAAACCGTACCACTGCAGCCAGTGCGGAAAGAACTTCAGTCGAGGAGAGAATCTCAAAAGGCATCAAAGAGTCCACATTGGGAAGTTGCTGCAGTTACAGGGAGCAGCTGTGGGGTTTCCTGGATCGAACTGAGTCAGCATGGTTGCCTAATCACTTAAAGATGGTTTTTAATCTCACAACAAATAAGTACAAAATAATAATC